GGTATATCAAAAAGTTCGGGGATAAATAGAATTAAAATATAATACAAATATTTCCACAAACTTTTCAACGTACCCTCATATATGGTAAAGCACTACACCAATAATTCAAAAAATGTAAATTAAACTAGTATGACTTAGCCAAGAGTCACAAGGCATTACTCTTCACCTATTAGATCAGCAAATATTAAAAAGTTAGACCATATCTAATGTTGGCAAAGATATGGGGAAATAATTATCTTTATAAAGTTTGGGGCCAGTGTACCACCCTTTTTGGAAGGCAATAATAGCTCAAATTAACTGAATATTTACTATGTCCCAAGTAATATCCTAAGAATTTTACATTCTTAATCTAATTCTTGCCACAACTCTAGGTGTTTAAGAGGTACTGTTATTATACCCATTTACCAAATTCAAGCAGAGAGAGAACAAATAACTTCTGTTAAATTCCACAGACAGGCAGTAAGTGATGGGGCAAGAATTCAAACTCAGGCAGTCTAACTCCAGTGCTCTTGCTATTATTGCCCATGAAGCTGTAATGACTGTCCATATTGCAATAGCTATCAAAATGTAGAACATGCACAATTAGTCCCAGCAATTCTCTCCTAAAAATTTCTCCCATGAAATACACAAATATGAAAAGATTATGTACATGAATGTTCATAGTAGCATTATTCATAATAGCCAAAAAGTGTAAATAACCCAAATGTCCATCAACTAATAAATATAAAATGTGATATATATATTATTCAGCCATAAAAAGTAACTAAGTACTTAACCTTAGATTTGGCAATGGATTCTTAGATATGACTCCAAGGGCACAAACAACAAAAGAAAATATTGATGAATTGGACTTCATCAAAATTAAAAACTTCTGTGCATCAAAAGACATCAAGAAAGTAAAAAGAAACCCTACAGAATAGGAGAAGTATATTTGGAAATCATATATCTGATAAGTGTATTAATATTCAGAATATATGAAAAATTCCCATAACTCAACAAAATGACAAAAAACCCAATTCAAAATGTGCAAAGAATATGAATAGACATTTCTTCAAAGAAAATAAACAAATGGCACATGAACAGATGCTCAACGTCATTAGGGAAATGCAAATCAAAACCACAACGAGATATCAATTCACACCTACTAGGACGGCTGTAATTTTAAAAATGCAAAATAAGTGTCGGCAAGGATGTGAAGAAAATGAAACCCTTGTGCACTGTTGGTGGGAAGGTAAAATGGTGCAGGTGATAAAAAAACACATTGGTGGTTCCTCAAAAAACTAAACAGAATTACCATATGATCCAACAATTACACTTCTAGGTATATGAGTGTACTTCAAAAATTTTGTGGAAAAATCGAATTAAAAGATAGTATGAATCCTTTCAGAAACTTTCTGAAGACTCCCCATATAACCAAAAAAACTGAAAGCAGGGACTCGAACAAATATTTGTACACCAATGTTCACAGCAACATTATTCACAATAGACAACAGGTAAAAGATAATTCAAATGTCTGTCAATGGATGAATGGACAAACAAAATATGGTATTATACATACAATGGAATATTATTCAGTCTTAAAAAAGAAATTCTAACACACGTTGTGGTGTAATAAAAAGTATATTTGGTCTTTGTCCCTGGTTCCCCTTTTCCCCCACCACCTCCAGAAAGGATTGAAGAACACACTGAGATGCTGGGAGGGTGGTATGCCTGAAGAGGACATGAAGATCTGTGCCCACCCCCACTATACTTTGCCCTATGCATCTCTTCCATTTGACTGTTTCTCAGTTGTATTCTTTTTCATAAAATGGCAAATGTAAGTAAGGTATTTTCCTGAGTTCTGAGAGTCAGTCCAGTGTATTATTGAACCTGAGGAGGGTGTTGTGGGAACCTCCAAATTTATAGCTGGTCTGTCAGAAGTACAGGTGGCTTATGAGACTTGTGACTTGTGGCTGAAATGGGGGCAGTTTTTTGGGACTGAGCCCTTAACCTGTGGAGTCTGCGCTATTTCCAGGAGTTAACTTTCAGAATTGAATTGTTGGACAACCCGTTGGTATTGGAGAGCTGGTTGTTGGTATAGAAAAACTCCACACACATACCACCATGTGGATGAACACTGAAGACATTATACTAAATGAAATAAGCCAAACACAAAAGGACAAATTATGCATGATTCCACTTATATGAGGTACCCAGAATAGTTAAATTCATAGAGACAGAAAGTAGAACAGTGGTTATCAGGGGCTGGGGGGAAGGGAAATGGGGAACTATTTATTGTTTAATGGGTATGGAGTTTCAGTTTGAAATGATGAAAAAGTTCTGGAAACAGATAGTGGTGAGGGTTGCACAAAAATGTGAATATACATAATGACACTGAATTGTATGTTTTAAAATGGTTTAAATAATCAATTTTATGTTATATATATTTTAGCAAAAAAAATTTTTTAAAGGAATGAAGTTCTGATAGATGCTACAACATGGATGAACCTTAAAAACATGCTAGGGGAAGGCAGCCAGACCCAAAAGGCCACATATTGTATGATTCCATTTATATGAAATACCTATAAAAGAACATCCACAAACAGGAAGCAGATTAGTGGTTGCCAGGGGCTGGGGGAGAGAGGCATGGGGAATAACTGTTTAACAGATATGGGGTTTCCCTTTGTGGTGATGAAAAATTCTGTAACTAGTTAGTGAAGATGGTTGCACAACACTGTGAATGTACTTAATGCCACAGAATTGTTAATTTAAAAATGGTTATAATGGAAATTTTATGTTACATGCATTTTACAATAATTTAAAAGAATCAATAATATAATTTTTAAAAAAAGCATTGAATTATACACTATAAATGGGTGAATTGTATGGTATGTGAATAAAGCTATTTTTTAAAAAGGGAATGACGTACTGATATATACTACAACATGGATGAACCTTGAAAACATTATGCCAAATGAAAGGAGCTAGTCATAAAAGACCACATACTATATGATTCTATTAACATGAAAAAATCCAGAATAGACAAATCTATAGAGACAGAAAATAGGTTAGTGGTTGCATAGGGGAATATAAAGAGTGACTGCTAAGGGTATGGGTTTTCTTTTTGGGATAATGAAAATGTTCTAAAATTGACTGTAGTGATGGTTGGGCCATTCTGTGAATATACTAAAAACTGATGAATTTCATACTTTAAATGGGCAAATTGTATAGTATGTGAGTTATAACTCAATAAAACTGCTATAAAATATACACACACATATATACATATATGTGTAGCAGGCATTTCCTCTAGAGCTGTTTACACTGGTGAGAAATATAATCTAAATGCCCATCAATAAAGGACTGGTTAAATTAATTATGGCACATTTACAATACGGAATACTACTCATTTAAAAGAATGAATTCACTATACTATACTAACTTGGACACTATGGTTTATTTTTTAAAATATATGTATATACAAAGATACAAAGCATGCACAAATAGAAAAAATATGGGAAAAAAATATATACTTCAAAAAGTTTGCGGAAAGACTTGTATTATCTTTCATTTTTCCATGAACTTTTTGAAGTACCATCATGCGTGCATGCGTGTGTGGAGACAGGTAGGTAGAGAGAGAGAGAGAGAGAGAGAGAGAATATTATTACTTCTCCATCTTTTCTTTCTTGAACGCCTATTAGTCAGATGTCAGAGCTTGGCTTTATCTTCCATGTCTCTCATTGTTTGTGTTCATTTCTACTTTTTTTTTTTTTCCGTGTCCGGCAACGGATCGCAACCCTCAGTGTCGCGCCCGTACCGGACCGGGACCAGCACGGGATTGCAACCCTCGGTGTTGCTCCCGCACCTCGCTCAGCCAGTGAGCGGGAACCAGTCTGTATGTGGGATCCGAACCCTCAGCAGGAGCGCTGCCGTGCTTCCCAAGTGGCGCACTGTAGCAGTGCGCCACCGGGCCAGCCCCATTTCTACTTTTTATCAGCATCACCCTCTAACCATCTGAGCTAACTGGCCAGCTCCATTTCTACTTTTTAAAAATCATTTTTGTTCTATGTCCAAGGATGATTCCTCAAATATTACTATAAAATTATACATTTAAAACCATTAAAATTTTATTTTCTTTCTTTTTTTATTGAAAGATAATTGATTATGTATGTTTGCAGGATACATAATTGAATATTAATACATGTGTACAATATGTGGTGATCAAATCAGGATAATTACTATACTCATGTTTACCAAATGTAAATAATTTCTGTGGCCCTTAACTTAATTTCTTGCTAACCCTCTCCCCCTTTCCCACCTCTAATGACCACAATTCTGTTCTTTTTGAAAGTTCAAGGTATTATTGTGATTGTTTCTTTGTTTCCTTCTTTCCTTCTTTTCCTTCTTTATTTAGCTCCCACTTATGAGTGAGGATATGCAGTATTTCTCTTTCTGTGCCTGGCTTATTTCACTTAACATAATTTTCTCTAAGTTCATCCATGTTGCTGTGAATGGCAAAACTTCATTCTTTTTTAATGGCAGAGTAGTATTCCATCGAATACATACACCACATTTTCCTTATCCAGTCATCTGTCAATGGACATTTAGGTTCATTCCAACTCTTGGCTATTGTAAATAGAGCTGCAATAAATATGGGAGTGCAGGTATCCCTTTGAAATGATGATTTCCATTCCTTTGGGTATATATACCCAGCAGTGGGATTGCTGGATTGCTTGGCAGTTCTACCTGTAGCTGTTTGAGGAAACTCCATACTGTTTTCCATAACAGCTGGACTAATTTACAGTCTCACCAACAGTGTATGAGGGTTCCCTTTCCTCCACATCCTTGCCAGCATTTGTTATTGTCTTTTTGACAATAGCCATTCTAACTGGGGTGAGATGACTATCTCAATGTGGTTTTGAAAAAATAACTTGGGAAGAAAAAAATTTTTTACCCTCCAATCTCTACTGTTAAAAATCATTTGAAAAAAGTTCTATATTCTTTCAAACAAAGATGCCAACCTCATTTCCTTCTCTTTCAAGCTGTTCTATCCTGTGTAGAATTTCTTTTGCTTTCTTCCAATGCTCTTCAAGATTCTTATCTTTCACATTTATGTCCTTCGATTGTTCTGCTTCATTTTCATCAAAAGAATATTCTCCTAGACTTAGAGACAATTTCTCAGCTTTGTAATATAGAAAAAAAATTGTGAGTTTATCCATTACTATAAATGTTATTTGAATAGTTTAAATTAAATAAGAACAACCTCATACCCACCCACCTCCCCCTTCCCTAAATTTTGTCCATCCACACTATCTTAACTGCCTAACTGGTACAGAAAATAAGTGGAAAGTATGCATGGCAGAGGCTCAGGACTCAAACAGTTTTAAATAAAATTTTAATATTCAGACTTACAGGAAAAAGAATAACACAAAACTATGTTATGCCAGGCATACAAACACCTTCAGGTAAATGGATACTGGTTTTAAAGTAGTTATTTATTTTTTTAAGTGTCCATAAAGTGGTTCCTTCTTATCATTTTTTTTTTTTTTTTTACATATTGGGTCTGTAATTTTTCTTCCACAAAGAACAAAATCCTTATCATGATCACTGCCCTCTGCTCCAGCCACAGTAGCCAACAATTCCTTGAATGCATCAGGCTCCCTCCTATGACAGGGTCCTCACTGTTGCTTATGCCTGAGACACTTGCCCATAACAAATTCCCTTTTTTTCACCTATTTAACTGTACACTTTCAGATCTCAGCTCAAGAATCACTTCCTCCCAATGTCTTTTCTGCTCCAAGTCTAAGTTAGATTCCTTTGTTACAGGCTGTCAAAATCTGTGTTCCATCCCTTCAGAACCGTTATGTCAATTTATAATAACATATCATCTCACTTTTGAGATTATTCAATTACTGTCTATTTTTCTAGTTAAACTAAGCTCTATGAGTGCACAGACTGTTTTTTCTTATCATTGTATCCCCAAGGCCTGGCACATAAGAGAAATGCAAACATTCTTTGAATAAATGAATGTGCTTTTATGATTTGATAATAAATCAACCTTACTCTTCAAATTTAAGTCCTACAAACTAAATTTGTCCACATGGCATAAAATAAACGAATTATCTGTGTTGCTGCTCTCTTCCATATAGGATTGTATATGCTGAAAATTCCCTAGGTTGTCATATCCAAATTATACACTCTGCTTTTCAAATGTAAAAAGAACCTAGCAGCTAAAGGGGCGTGGCTCATTGAAGCAGTTATCAATTCCCCTTCATAAACTTTGGTTAGTATTTTCTTAAAGTAACACTAAACTTACTAATTCTTCTGCAGTTGTGAAGCACGAAAGTGGCAGCTTTGTTTAGTTCCTCATTCTGAGATTCAGTTAAGGCTTGTATCATGAGTGGAAGTCCATTATTTTTAAATAGGTCATACTGATTTTCCTCTGGAAAACATGAAAAATAAAAGTAGAAGACAATTACTTCATCATAAACTATCTGCATGAGGTCATAATTCTTCCTTGTGATAATTATGAACACTGTTCAAATTTTTTTTAAGTAGAGGAAAACATAAACAGCTTAAAAAGTATTTTCAATTTAGGAAATAATCCACTTACACAAAATTACTTAAGCCTGATAAGTGATGACTCTGAAATGCAGCCAAAGAGTAGTATCTTACCTCATAAGAGTAAACAAACTGCCCTCCCTTGGTTTAAAAACAGGTATAGTAAATCCTATATCATACAGAGTTTTACAGAAAGTATATAGAAATAAACTGATGGAGGGAGTAGAAAATGAGGGAAGAAAGAGAAGAACCAAGAGAGAGCAAAGGGAGGAGAACAGAAAAGTGAGGGGGGAATGAAGAGGGAGGAGTTTGGAAGAAGGGAGAGAGGGAGAGAAGAAAATGGAGAGGGTTAGAAAGGAGTAGATTAGACAGAGGGAGAGCAAGAAGAAAATGGAGAGAGGGAGGAAAATGGAAGGGGAGGAGAAAGAGAATAAAGAGAGGAGAGAATAATAGGTAGAGACAGAAAGAAACTAAAGTTTTTCAGCAAGGGAGAACAGGACCAGATTTGTGAAGCAATGTGAAGAATGGACCACAAAATGGAAACAGAAGGAAAGGAGCATAGGGAGGAAGCTATTGCAATAGTATTAGTGAAAGATGTTGAGGGGCTGAGGCCTAAATTGGAAGAGCAGTACTGGAATTGGACAGAAAGTTATAAGGAGGGGTAAACAGAAGTAGAACCACAGGTGCTAGTGACTGAATACAGTCATCCTTCAGTATTCATGGGAGACTGGTTCCATGATGCCCCATGGACACCAAAATCCACAGATGCTCAAGATCCCTATATAAAATGGTGTAGTATTTGTATATAACCTATGCAAATCCTCCTGTATACTTTAAATAATTCCTAGATTACTTTTAATACCTAATACAATGTGAATGCTATGTAAATAGTTGTTATACTGTGTTGTTTATTTACTTTTTATTGTTGTATTGTTACTTTTTTAAAAAATTTAATATTTTTTAAACACAGTTGGTTGAATCCGAGGATGTGGAACCCACAGATATAGAGTTAATTGTACAATGTGTGAAGGAGAATGAGGAGCTAAAATGACTGGTTTGGGAATGGAATGGCTGCAAGAAAGGCAATACTTTTAGGGCTTTCACATGTTTACAGAGAAAAAAAGTATACTTCCCCTCCACTGTTTTAATAAGCACACTAAAGAAACCTAATACTTACCACAATCTTCTGTGCAATGCCCAAGAGTAAGTATGATGCTGAATTTTTCTCCTGGATCCAGACTTCCATTAAGCAATAATGACAGAAGTTTTGAAACAATGTGGTACTTGGAAAGTACTACCCCGAAAGTAGCTATTAGCATAAAATAGAAAAAAAAAAGATAGTAAGTACAAATTTAAAACTTATGCTATATACTCTTCAGAGCTTATTCAGGGAGAATGATGTTATATATCTATATATCTCCAATATACATATATCATATAGCATCTAATATATATGTGTGTATACGTGTGAATATAAATAAATTTACTGTAATAAGATGGTGGCTTATTACAATAACCCTCACTGATCTCTCTTCCCTAAAGACATGATTGCTAAAACAAAGAATAGTTTCTTCTTAATTGTTCTGCATAATATGCTTACTCTCACCTTACATATGTCTTATTATCTAGACTTAACAGTAGAGACTTTCCTATGTAATAAATTCCTGCCTGACATTGAAAACCGACCATCATTCTACTAATGTTAACAATGCAATGAAGCATATCTGAAGTTCTGAGATATAACAAAATTCAAGAAGTCCACCATTTAAAGGTATACTTCTAATGGGGCTTTTAACAGAGCTCTCCCAGAGTCTGACAATACCAATATCTACAATAAGGTTGTGACTTCCTCAAGGGATTATATCTTAATCATTTTTGTACTCTACAGCTCAGCACATATAGCAGGCCCTCAGTAACTGCTTTTTAAAAAACCATCTACTTTTTTTCAATTATTTGTGAATGCCAATAGAGTTTCTTATTACAATAATTTATAGACTATCATTCCTCAGTGTTTGTACATGTGAGAAGCAGCCATGGGTTCAAGTCTGGTCTGCCATTCATTAGTTACAGTGCAGTGGGTAAGTCAGACCTCATACTTATCAGAAAGAGGTGTATCTTAATTCTTTATGTAATTGTTAAAAATCTATAAGCTGGGTTTTCTATTCCTTATGTCTCAAAAATGTCCCTCGATTTCTCATCTAAAAATGCTACTTTTTAAGTGAAATAAAGATTTAGGAATGAAAGAATCTTATTTTGATTCTATCATTAGACTTGAAGGCAGAAGATCTAGATTTGAATACTTAGGAAAGTCATGATCTCCATGGGAATATATAGAGTTGAACTAGGTAATTTCTAAGATTCCTTTCCACTTGTGAGAAACTGGAAGTCTAATCCATATTAGCATTCAAACTGCCATTTCAACAGTCACCATGCTGAATTCAAACAAAATTCAATTGTAGAAAAATTACTAAGCATTTTCACTCACGATTATCAGCAATACATGCATCCACTGTCTTTGTCACCACCACTGCAAGCTTAGCACTGGAAAGAGTCTTGTGTGAATCAGATTCCAGTTGCACAAGAACTTGAGACAATACATCCAGTCCACCCACAGATATAAAGTATTTCTGAACATATGCTTAAGGAATAAAGTAGCAAAACTATTAATATCTCAAACAAGACAGGTGTATGGTTTAATTCAATTAATTTGAAGTAAATATAATATTAATTTGACTCTTTTCAAATACTAAAAATCCCAAGATTAAATTACTACCTGTGCATATATATATAATCATAAGATAGATTACTTATTTATGCAAGCACCTCACTTTAACATAGTACAACTACATGTATAGTACAGTATTTCTTTCTTGTGTTAGAAATCTTATTTGTTTCACTTAGTGACAACTGGTGTATTTCGTAAGAATGACTTTATTAAACTGTTCTTTGACATTATTAAACAAGTCTTTCGATGAAGCTATAAAGAATAGATTCATTCTTATAGTTTGGTATTAAAAAGGCATGCTGCCTATTTTCTGAATTCCAACATAACTCACTCCTCAGATTGCTTGAATCTACAGAAGGCAAAGTAATTTAACTGTGCCAAAAGAACTCATATCCATCTTATTTATACCTAATTCTTTACTTCTTGGAGCATAAAATTATATCATTGAGTGTCATAACAACTATTCTTAGCAAAGATTCAATGACAGTATATACATTTTCTAAGTCTGAAGTCTTTTATTCCCCTGTTGAAAATAATTCTGATGGAAAACTATCCTCTTGGTCTGTGGATTCAATAGTATCCACAGCCCCTATCCCAGTAACGGGTTTATAACAAATGGATATATAGGCCAGTGATTATAATTCTGCCACAAACCGTCATCCAGTTTACCCTAGTTCCATAGGTTAAAGCCAAGATGATTTAAAGACAAAAATTCTTTTTTGCATTGTTCATAAAACACAGGGATCTTAATCTTAACAACAACAAAAAAAGTTACGTTCAGAACTTTCTCCATCTGGGAAAGGAAACATTATTTAAAGACAAGCAAATATTTTCAGTATTAAGGAGACTCCAAAATAGGCTTCTTTACTAAAAAGTATTTTCATTAAAAAAAAAATCTTCAAAAAAGAAAGTATTTTTAAGTGCTCAGATGAAAATGGCACAGTGTTACCACAAAAATTCTTAGTTATAGCCTAGGTAACAAAAGTTCAGAGTTATAAACAGAAGAACATCCCAGTCCATATTTCATATGAGTCTGCTGAGAGTAATTAGGTCTTATAACTATCACTCATTCAAGTTGGTTTTTAGATAAAGAGGAAATGTCTAGGTATCATGGAAATAGATTCCAATTTTTGAACTTCTAGAGATATATCTCCTTTCCATGCGAAATATGAGTATTTGAAACACCTAAATACAGATATACATCAGCAATATGTGAAAGTTCTGGCTGCTCCACATCCTTGCCAATATTTAATATTACTAGTCTTTTACTTTTAGCCATGCTAGTGGGTATCTCTATGGGGTTTTGGTTTGGATTTCTCTGATGACTAATGATCTTGAGCATCTTTTCAGGTGCTTATTTAATATTCACAACTTCTTTGGTGAAATACCTGCTCAAATCTTTTGCCCATTTTATAATCATTAGGTTGTTTTTGACTTATCAATTTGTAAGAGTTCTGTATGTATTCTGGGTTCCTTATCAGATGTGTTTCTCAATATTTTTTCCCAGTCTGTGGCTTGCCTTTTCATCTTCATAATAGGATCTTTTGAAGAGCAAAAGACTGTAATTTTAGTGAAGTCCAATCTATCATCTTTTTTTTAGCGGTTCATGCTTTTTGTGTCCAAAAAATATTTGTCTACCCCCAAGGTAAGGATTTTCTTCTGTGTTTTTGTCTAGAAGTTTTATATTTTTCACATTTATATTTAGATCCATAGACTATTTCAAGTTAATTTTTGTAAATCTTTGAGACAAGTGTTGAGATTCATATTTTGCAAAGAGATATCCACCTTTTTCAGCACCATTTGTTGAAAAGGCCATCTTATCTCTCATGGAATTACCATGGCATCTTTGTAGAAAATGAATGACATACATGCATGGGTCTATTTCAGAGCTCTCTATTTGGTTTCATTGATCTATATGTCTACACCTATACCAATGCCACACTTTTTTGATTACTATATAATAAGTATTGAAATCAGTATTTTACTCTATTAGACCTGCAGTTTTATCTATTTTCAAGACAGTTTTCCTCATCCTAGACTCTGCATTTCCATGTAATTTTTAGAATCAGCTTGTGAATTTCTACAGAACAGCCTGCTGGGATTTTGATTGGGAATGCTATGAACTCATCTTCTAGAGATGAATAGAGAGATGACATTCTTACCATGTTGAGTCTTACAATACATGAACATCACATATCTCCTCATTAATTTCTGTGTTCTTCAATTTATTTCAGCAATGTTTTGTAGTTCTCAGCATACAGGCATTGCATATATTTCATTAAACTTATTCTTAAGTATTTAAGATTTTACATTATTGTAAGTGGTATTTTCTTTGAGTTCCAACTGCTTGTTGATAGTATATAGAAATATAATTGATGTTTGTATATGATGTTGTATCCTGCAACCTTCCTAAAATTATTAGTTATAGTAGTTTCTTTGTAGATTCTTGGGATTTTCAAATAGACAATCATGTAATCTATGAATAAATACTACTATTTCCTTTTCCATCTCTAAGCCTTCTATTTCATTTTCTTGCCTTATTGCACTGGATAGGACATCTAGCAAAATGTTGAATTAAAGTTGTGAAAGTGGCTTCTCTTCTCTTTTTTCTGGTTTTAGGTGGAAAACATTCAGTCTTTCATCATTAAGTATGTTAGCTGTAGTATTTTACAGAGGCTGTTTATAATGTTAAAGATATTCCCTTCTATTCCTAGTTTACCAAAGATTTTTGTCACAAATATATGTTGAATTATGTCAAATGCTTCTCCTGTACTTACTGAGATTATCGTATAGTTCTTTTGTTCTTGTCTGTGAATATGGTGAATTTTGTAAGGTTAAACCAATCTTTCAGTCTTGGGATACATGCCACTTGATCATAATATATTCCTTTTCTATACATTGCTAGATTCAATTTGTTAACATTTTGTAGAGGATTTTTACATGTATGTTCATAAGGGATACTGCAGTTTTCTTGTAATGCCTTTTCTGTGTTTGGGTATGGGTGTAACGCTGCTCTTATAAAATGTATTGGAAAGTGTTTCTTCCACTTCTATTTCCTGGAAAAATTAATATAGAATGCTACTTTTGTTTTTTTTTCCCCCTTAAATTGTTTGGTAGAATTAAGCAGTGAAATTATCAGGGCCTGGGTTTTCCTCTGTGTTAAGGTTTTAAACTACAAATTCAATTTCTTTAATAGATACAGGAATATTCAGGTTACCTATTTCTTCTTGAGTGACCTTTGGTAGTTTATAACCTTCAAAGAATTTGTCCAACTCATATAAGTTGTTGAATTTCATGGCATAAAGTTGTTTCTACTATTCCTTTATTATCCTTTTAATATTCTAAAATCTATAGTTCTGTCACCTGTCATTCCTGACATTGGTAATTTGGAAGCCTTCTTTCATTATTTTGTGATCAATCTAGGTAAGGGATCGATTCTATCGATTTTTCAAAGAACTAGCTTGTAGTTTCACTGATTTTTCTCTATTTTGTTCTTTTTCTATTTCATTGATTTTTTTTTTTTTAAAAGATGACTGGTAAGGGGATCTCAACCCTTGGCTTGGTGTTGTCAACACCACGCTCAGCCAGTGAGCAAACCGGCCATCCCTATATAGGATCCGAACCCGTGGCCTTGGTGTTATCAGCACCGCACTCTACCGAGTGAGCCACGGGCCGACCTCTATTTCATTGATTTTTGATTTCTTTATTATTTCCTTCATGTTGCTTAGAGTTTAACTTGCTTAGTTTTCTAGTTTTTTAGGTAGAAGCTAAGATAATTGATTTGAGACCTTTCTTCTTATACAAGACTTAATAACATAAATTTCCCTCTAAACTCTGCTTTTGCAGTATTCTACAGGTTTTTTTAATGTTTTATTTTCATTATCATTCAGTTAAAAACCTTTTTAAATTTCCTTTATAATTTGTGCTTTGACTCAAGGGTGGGCTTTGTTTCTGTTTCTGTTTTTACTAAATTGCTTATCAGATATTGGGGCTTTTCTAGATATTTTATTCATTTCTAATTTAATTACATTGTAGTCAGAGAACACACTCTGTGAGTTTTTAGTTTTGCTATCTAGTTGCTCTGTTTTACGAGCTTCTCTGGGGAGACTAAAAACTATGCTGCCACCAACAACTTCCCAATATCCTCCTAACGATATCTACTTTTAAGATTTTGTTATCTTCTATTCACAATAGCCAAGATATGGAAATGACCTAAATGTCCATCAACAGATGATTGGATAAAGAAAATATAATATACATACATAATGAATACAACTCAGCCATAAAAAACAATGAAATCCTGCCATTTGCAGCAACATGAATGACCTCATAGAAAATTATGTAAAGTGAAATAAGCCAGGTGAGAAAGAGAAATACCACATGTTCTCATTCATATGTAAGCTAAAAAAGTTGATCTCATAGAAGTGGAGAGTAGAATAGTGGTTACTAGAGACTGATAACGGGAGGGAGGAAAGGGGGTGGGGGAGGGTGGTCAATGGATACAACATTTAAGCACAGTCAACAACAAATTACTGTATAACTTCAAGTAGCTAGTTGAAAGGATTTTGAATGTTCCCAACACAAAGACATGACAAATGTCTGAGGTGATGGATATTCTAATTACCCTGATATGATCACGGCACACTGTATAAATGCACCCAAATATAACAATGTACTCCATAAATATATATAATTATCATGGGTCAATTAAGAAAAATGAAAAAGAAAAAAGATTTCAGAGACAGAAGAAGATTAGAGGTTACCAGAAACTGGGGGTTAGAAATAACAGGAAGTTGTTGCCAAATGGGTTCCAGAGTCCGTGTTTGGGATGACAAAAAAAATTTGGAAACAGAAGTGATGGTCATACAGCATTGGAAATGTAATTAATTCCACAGAATTGTAAGTTTAAAAAGCAGTACTAAGGGGTAAATTTATAGCATTAAATGCTTACTTCAGAAGAATGGGAAGATGGCAAGAAATTAACCCAACACTTCATCTTAAAGAAACAAGAACAATCCAAGCCCAAAGTTAGTAGATGGAAAGAAATAATTAAGATCAGAGCAGAACTAAATGAAATAGAAACCCAAAAAATGATACAAAAGATCAATGAAACAAAAAGTTGGTTTTCTGAGAAGATAAATAAAATTGACAAGCCATTAGCAAGGCTAACTAAAAAAAGAAGACACAAATAACAAAAATTAGAAATGAAAAACGTGATATTACAACTGATACCTCAGAAATACAAGGAATCATTAGAGACTAATATAAACAACTATACACCAACATATTTGAAAATCTGGAGGAAATGCATGAATTTCTGGACACACACAAACTAACAAGACCGAGCCAAGAAGACATAGAAAATCTGAACAGACCAATAACAATCAAAGAGATTGAAACTGTAATCAGCAGTCTCTCAACAAAGGAAAGCCCAGGACTGGATGGCTTCACTGCAGAATTCTACCAAACCTCTAAAGAAGAATTAATACCAATTCTCTACAAACTATTCCAAAAAACTGAAATACAGGCTATTCTCCCAAACTCATTCTGTAAGGCAAACATCACCCTGATACCAAAACCAGACAAAGATACAACAAAAAGAGAAAACTACAGGCCAATATCTTTGATGAATACAGATGCAAAAATTCTCAATAAAATACTAGCTACACATACATAAAATTATACACCATGATCACATGGGATTCATCCCAGGGATGCAACGTTGGTTCAACATACACAAATCAATAAATGTGATATACCTCATCAACAAAATCAAAGACAAAAACCGTAAGATCATCTCTATAGATGCTGAAAAGCATTTGACGAAATTCAACATTCATTCATGATAAAGACTCTTTAAATTGGGTATAGAAGGAAAATATCTCAACACAATTAAAGCCATATATGACAAACCCACTGTCATTATCATCCTGAATGGGGAAAAGTTGAAAGCTTTTCCCTTAAGAACAGGAACAAGACAAGGATGCCCACTCTCACCACTCCTATTCAACATACTGTTGGAAGTACTAGCCAGAGCAATCAGGCAAGAGAAGGAAATAAAGGGCATCCAGATTGAAAAAAATGAAGTTAAACTGTCACTGTTTGCAGATGATATGATCCTATATATAGAACAGTCTAAAGACTCTACAAGAAAACTCTTAGAATTGATATATGATTTCAGCAAAGTTGAAGGATACAAAATCAACATGCAAAAATCACTTGCATTTCAATACTCCAACAGTGAACTAGCAGAAAAAGAAATCAAGAGAGCAAACCCACTTACAATAGTCACCAAAAAAATAAAATACTTAGAAATAAAGTTAATTCAGGATGTGAAAAACTCTATGACAAGAACTACAAACCACTGTCGAAAGAAATTAAAGAGGACACAAGAAGATGGAAAGATATCCCATGCTCTTCGATTGGAAGAATTAACATTGTGAAAATATCCATACTACTCAAAGTGATCTACAGATTCAACCCAATCCCCACCAAAATTCCAATGACATTCTTCTCAGAAATGGTAAAACAATTCTAACTTTCATATGGAATAACAAAAGACCACCAATAGCCAAAGCAATCCTGAGCAAAACAAACAAAAAAACCGGAGGCATAACACTACCTGATTTAAACTATACTACAAAGCTATGATAACCAAAACAGCATGGTATTGGCATAAAAACAGACACACAGACAAATAGAACAGAATAGAGTATCCAGAAATCAACCCATACACCTACAGCCATCTGATCTTCAACAAAGGCATCAAGACTACACACTGGGGAAAAGACTGCTTCTTCAATAAATGGTGCTGGGAAAATTGGGCATTCATATGAGGAGAATGAAACTAGACCTGTACCTTTCACCATATACCAAAATCAACTCAAAACGGATTAAAGAATTAAATACACATCCTGAAACAATAAAACTCCTTAAAGAAAACATAGGAGAAACACTTCAGAAAGTAGGCTAGGGTACAGACTTTATGAATGTGACCCCAAAAGTACAGGCAACCAAAGGAAAAATAAACAAATGGGATTATATCAAACTAAAAAGCTTCTGCACAGCAAAAGAAACAAATTTTAACAGAGCGAAAAGAAAACCAACAGAGTAGGAGAAAATATTTGCAAAACATACATCTGACAAAGGACTAATAACCAGAATATACAAAGAACTCAAACAACTTAGCATAAAAACAAGTAACCCCATTAGAAAATGGACAAAGGAACTGAATAGGCATTTCTCAAGGGAAGATATATGAATGGCCAACAGACACATGAAAAAATGCTCAACAACACTCAGCATTCAGGAAATGCAAATCAAAAGACTTTGAGATACCATCTCACTCCAGTTAGGAAGGCTAATATCCAAAAGACTGAGAACAATAAATGCTGGCAAGGAGGCAGAGATAAAGGAACCCTCCTACACTGTTGGTGGGACTGCAAAATGGTGTAGCCTTTACAGAAAATGGTATGGAGGTTCCTCAAACAATTACAAATAGATCTACCATATGACCCAGCTATTCCACTGCTGGATATATACCCAGAGGAATAGAAATCATCATGTCGAAGGGATACCTGTACTCCCATGTTTAGTGCAGTGCTATTTACAATAGCCAAGAGTTGGAACCAGTCTAACTGCCCATCATTGGATGAGTGGATAAGGAAACTGTGGTATATCTACACAATGGAATACTACTCTGCTATTAAAAAAAAAAAAGGAAATACGGGCTGGCCCGGTGGCGCACTGCTGCAGTGCGCCGCTTGGGAGCGCGATTGCGCTCCTGCCGAGGGTTTGGATCCCACATACAGACTGGTTCCCGCTCACTGGCTGAGCGAGGTGTGGGAGCAACACCAAGGGTTGCGATCCCGTTGCCGGTCCCGGTCTGGTACGTGCGCGACACTGAGGGTTGCGATCCGTTGCCGGACACGAAAAAGGACAAAAAGGAAAAGAAAAAAAAAAAAAAAGAAATACTACCATTTGCAGCAACACAGAAGGACTTAGAGAAAATTACATTAAGTGAAATAAGCCAGGCACAGAAAGAGAAATAGTGCATGTTCTCACTTATTTGTGGGAGCTAATAAAAATAAACAAATATACAAACAAACAAATGGGGGAGGGGTGAAAGAAAACACACAATCACAATTCCTTCAACTTGTTAAGACAAGTGAACAGATATAATGTTGTGGGGGAAGGAAGGGGAAAAGGAGGAATTGGTAAAGGGACACGAAAATCAACTACATTGTATACCGATAAATAAAAATTAAAATTAAAATAAATGGCAAACCTTATGTTACATATATTTTACCACAATAAAAAAAAAGATTTTGTTACCTTCAAGAGTCTAAATGCCTATGCTATCTACCCTAAGTGAACCAATTGTGCAGTACATGCATGTATTGAAACAACACACTGCACTCCAAAAATATGTACCAATGTTAAAAAAAAAAGAGTATAAATGCATCCAAAATGACCCAAATTACCAGAATAAGATTAATTCATTAATTCAATAATGAATTCAATAGTTTTTTGTTATTCTTTGAAATATATTTCTTCAAGTAGAAAGTAACAAACACTTACTGTTACTTGCAAGAGTGAGTCCAATAAATGAGCAAATAGGGCGAATTATCTCAGGTTTCATGCAATTTATTAGCCACTCATTAGCATGTGGAAAAAGTGAACAACAATACATTTGATTCTCATCTAAAAGAAGAAAAAGCCAATCATGTTTTAATATGACCTTTGGAAAATATCAATTTTCATTTCTGTTTTTATCTTTATTTTTATATTTAAATATTTGTGATAATTACCATTCTGAGGATTGTTGACACATACACACAGAGTACTACATATGGAAGACCACAACTGGTAACTCTGGGAAACATTTTTATCTGACAAATTCAACTCATGTTTTGAAAGAACTGTCCTATTAGGTTGAAAAGAAAAGGGAGTAAATTAAGACAAACCTGTTAAGGTCTTAAGTAATGGATAATAAATGAGAAATTTATATTTGTTTACCTGAACAACTGTGACAGAACGGTAATACAACCTGTTTCTCTCACAAGCGTTTGTCCAGTCCCTTAAAAAAAAAGCCATATCTTACATAAATATGACTTTTACTTAGAAATAATTTTACAAAAATGAAAAACACCATGTAAGTAGTATTTTAATAGATAATTAATTTTTAAAGCACTTTAAAGTATTATGAAGTATAACAGAATTACAGTAGATAAAACTCTGTAATCAAGATTATTATAGGGCCAGCCCGGTGGCGCACTGCTACAGTGCGCCGCTTGGGAAGCGCAGTGGCGCTCCCGCCGAGGGTTCGGATCCCACATGCAGACCGGCCGCTCACTGGCTGAGCGAGGAGCGGGGGCAACACCGAGGGTTGCGATCCCGTAGCCGGTCCCGGTCCGGTATGGGCGCAACACTGAGGGTTGTGATCCGTTGCCGGTCACGAAAAAAGACAAAAAGACAAAAAAAAAAAAGATTATTATAGAAAATACACTACTTATGCTTAGAGACTGACAGCATTCAAACTTCCTCTAAAAATTAGGAAACACTTATTTTGCATCACGGTTCTGTATCACACCACCAAAATATGCTCCAAAATAAAATAAATAAATAAATTCAATCTTTTCTAGTTTTCCCAAAATAGGAAAAATAACAATGCTTATGAAATTTCTAACAATTTGAAGAATTAAATAAAGCAATGTTAAAAAATAACCTTCACCTTGGCAGTAGGTATACAAGAACACTCTATACTATCTTAGCAACTCTTCTGTAAATCTAAAATTATTCTGAAATAAAAACCATTGCTGGATGACACAGTAAACACTGTAGCTAAATGGCCAATTTAGTAGAAAGTCAACCAAACTAATTCTTTTAATGCCTCTCTTTTTCCTTTTAAAGCTGTTACTTTTCAATGTTCATTAAGCAGTATAAATCAATTTACTATTTCTTAAAATTAACAAATATCAAATGATTAAATGCATGCTATTCATTCCCTTTCCTTGAAAACTAGTATTTCTCAGAAGTTAGTGAGATTAAAAAAAAAAAAAAAAAAAAAAAAGACATTGATATAAGGACCAGAATTAAAGATCTAATAACATTGTTCCAATTAATTATTTAAAGTGTTTTTAAACATTCATAAGAGAATGTACTTACTATTATTTGAAACCAGAACCAAAATCATATAGACAGACATTCTTTTCAAATTTGTGTTCGAATCACTATTAGATAAGAACCAGGTTAAGTCTTCAAACAACTCTGAAGTGCACAAAGTCTGCTGACAGTAAACTGAAATATAAAATATAATTTTAACTTCAAAGCATTAGCACAATTTTTTAAATATGCTGTAAAAAAAATACAAAGTTGTCATACGGAAGATGATTCTCAACCAGATCTCATTTAATTGACGTTTATTAGTCATACAACAAAATTTCTGACAAATTGATATGTGATTACTTAATTATCAAACCAAAGAAGCAGTATCAAAAGTATTTGGTCTAGGTTCCAAAACATACCACAATCCCCTAGAATTTCCAATAAAAAAACTAACTAAATAAAAAATTAAATTAGGGCCGACCCCGTGGCCCACTCGGGAGAGTGCAGCGCTGGGAGGCCAGCGGCGCTCCCTCTACGGGTTCGGATCCTATATGGGGATGGCCGGTGCACTCACTGGCTGAGCGCGGTGTGGGCGACACCAAACCAAGTGTTGTGATCCCCTTACCGGTCACAAAAAAAAAAAAAAATTAAATTAAATCTGACAAAAAATTTTAAGAGAATGAGTAACAATACATAGCAAGAAAAACAATTTAAGAAAATTCAGAAACCCGCTTTAGAAAACAAATGGACAAATGATATTTGTGCTATTTTTTGAGACTTTTCTAGAAATAATCTTTTCTTTCTTTTTTTTTTTTGACTAGCCTATTTTTATAGCAATTTTAGGTTTTCAGAAAAGTTGAGCAGAAAGCACAGGTTATATACCCCATCATACACAGTTTTCTAGGAATAATCTTTTCTAAACTCAAAAATGAAGGGCTGGCCGGTAAGCACTGTTGTTTAGAGTGCAGCCTTGTAACACCAAGGTAATGGGTTCGGAGCCATGTACTGGCTAGCCAAAAAAAAAAAAAAAAAAAAACCCCCCCAAAAATGATGCCTACCTGACAGTGATTTTTTTTTTTTTTTTGTGATAATAACACAATAAGCAGAATTTTACAAAACTGGCTTAAACACGGGGCCGGCCCGGTGGCGCACTGTTACAGTGTGCCGCTTGGGATGTGCGTGGGAGCTCCCTCCGTAGGT